CACCAGGAACGGGTAGAGATGCGGTGACCGACGAATGTGGACCCTTTTGGTTGACCATTTCTGGACATTCGGGGCATTTCGATCCTGCCCGCTCTGGGTTGATAGTGACAGTGGCGGACGATGGCTTGGTCACCGAACATTTCGAAGTGCTGGCTTGTGTGGGTGTGTTCCGCCTTTGGGTTATACGAGAGCTCGATTGGCGTTGTTCTTGCTGAGCAATCTTGTACGGATGAACTGTTTCGTTGGACCGCGCGTTGATCTCAGGAGCAGTAGCAATACATGATGTTGGCGTGCGAACAGAGGGGCGAAGTATACTCTTGGGCAGACATGACGATCCAGTCACTACGGTATGAATGTCTTCGAGAGCCGATCGTGTTTGGGGTGGTTGACGCTTGGTGTTTTCTTTGTCGTTATCATGCTGCCGAACTTTGATCCCTGATATAATCCGATGAAGTTCGGGCCACGGTCGAAGATCGTCCACAGTGTTCATGAGCTGGCGAATGTAGTTTGAGTCGGATTGATAGATCTGGTCCAGCGTTTGGTTCTGGTAGGGACCGAATGGGATAACGCAGTCCTTAGGACGTAATTGTCGTGTGCTCTCCATCGCTGGTCAGGAGAAGTGAACCTTGTACGCGAATGCGCAAAGCGCGTACATCTAGAAGATTTGTAGGACTTGAAAAGGGCTGTACAAACCTGCGTCATCCTCGCAGGAAACGAATGTATCTGATATGAGTCGAGGCCCAAGCGCGCTCTGTCTCACCACAGCACACAACCTTCACAGATGCACGCATATCGCCACGTGACTCGTCTTTCTTCCGTTGCGTGAACAGATCCATCGCAGCCGATATATGCGCAATGTCTCGGATTTGCTGCGCAGCGACGCAAAATTCCTGATCATCCGCTTCCTGTTGACGGTATGACAAAGATCATGGTTCGCAAGACGGTCCGGCAGACCTTGTCCCAGCTTTGATCACGCACCCCATCACAAACCTCGTCCACAAAAGCGTTTCCACGGATTCCAGGCCGCAGCGAAATCGGCTTTATGTCTTGCGCCAGCTGTTCCACGAGATGGCTCTTCAGGAGTTGCGTCCATGGAGTGCCTTCCTCCGTCGCCAAAGCCCGTCCAGCTCTTCTTGCATCCGGGGTTGCCCATCTTTGTGAAGCCTTCACCACCGTATCTCAACATCCTCTATCTGCTTCCATAATCATTGAATCCGCGAATGGTATTGCTGCCTCAATCATCCGGCGCTTTTCACGACTGCGATAGGCTACACACACACGACATCCACGATGACTGAATGCCCCCATGGAATAATGGAAGGAGTGGAAAAGAATTCGATAGGCTGCAACCCGCATACCTCGAACGACTTGGAAGCGGACCCGACTATGGGTCCACCCTTTGACATCATCACTCCAAAGGATACGGCCGAGATTCACAGCTTTATGAATGAACATGGGGTTCTGGACACCTTCTCGCAACTAGTGGAACTGGCTTCTGGCGGATCATCGTCCACGGGCGACCAGTCCTTCCTTTCCGATCTTGACAGAACTGGATACTCCACGAACGCGGATACAAGCATAGTCGGCTGTGGTGGCCCAATCATACCACCATTCGAACATTGCCAATCAGGAGACGACGTGCAAAACACGCTATCTATCGATCAACAAGTATACCCGAATGACCTCATGGAGCTAAATCTCAGCTCCACGGTCGACGACTTGAGCATGGCTATTTGCCGAAGAATGCCGTCTGTTAGCCCGGGTGTGGACGACCACGCCACGTCATTTCTACTCGACAATACCCCATGTGGTGTTAAAATCAGAGTTGAACAATTCTTCGAAATGTTCGCTGTGGATGTAAGTTCGCATCTCTTGCAGTGATTGATGCTCGCTGATCCACATAGGACGTACTCAATCTTAAACATCTCAACTCGAACGACGAGTGGGACCCGCACACGGTGCAGATCGTGACAGCCTTGATGCCATTTGTGCTTCCAACGTGCGACCAAGGACCAAAGCGAAAGCGTGGCAGCAATGATGACGTTACGTCCCGACCTTCGAAGAAGAGAGACAAGAAGTCAATTGAATGGTGGAGAAGGTGGTCGAGGCTGACGCGCGAAGACATCGCACTCGACTCCGAGCAAGTGACTGTCGTGAACATGGGTCTAGGCGTCCTGCGAGACACCGGCGCTCTGGGTAAGCGAAACAAAGGTACTACCTTTATGGACGTCTACGCCGCGCATGTGGGCAATATGCTCGCTACAGAGCGTGTTACTGCGCTGACCAGCGTCCAATATGTGGTATACGCCATCTTTTTCCACATAGCCTCTACGATGGACCCTGCCAACTGGGTAGCGAGGGGTAACGCTGGTCAAGTAAGAGGGAAGTTCTGTCCCTCTGCGGTACGACGCTTGTTCTCCCATTGTGGCGGTTATGTGCCTGGTGGTATGACGCCGGCTGTTTTCGAGGAGAAGTTACGCGGTTGGCAAGATCATGGGAGAAAGTACGAGTTCATCGGTGTGCACCTTGGCCTTGGAAGCATTGTGCATCTGGGATCGGTATTACACCACACGCAGCTCAAGACGATGACGAAGGGTGGCGAGCAAGCAGTCGATGGTATCAAATCGAGCGAGGTGGCCTTCCGTCATCTGCGAAAACTGGGATTACCGGAACTAGCGAAACATTCAGGTGCTGATGCGCTGATGCATGATCTCCTCTGGGAGATCTTTGGGAGCTTCCTCGACTTCCCGAAGCGAGTGGGTGATTCGCAGTTTCCCGCATTCGTCGAACACGCCCCAGCGCAGCTAAGTGCAAGCATCATCAGTGACAGCGGCAGCGATGATGGCCAATGTGATTGAGGGTCGGCGATCAAAGTGCGCGGAGAGAATTCTTGGGCGATGTTATAAGGGCATGAGGGGTATGTCTACGAGGGAGCGAAAAGACGGAGGGGCGAGAAGACCGTCGGCAGTATTGAAGTACTCAAAATACCAAGTCGTGGCACCGAGAAGCGAAGATATCTTTGCTCCCCAGGACCCTGAGGCATTGTTTCGGTACTGTGGAGAATGTTCTCGACGTCCTCGAAACGTCCACTTGTGTGTCCGAGCAAGCATCATAAACGCCAGCAAACTTCTCTTTGTTCACGACCCCATACTCATCGCCTGAAAGTCGCATTCTTCCCGGCCATACTTCCACCTCTTCTTTCAACTCCCCTGGAAAATAACAACTTTCGTCAATAAAAGAAGCCAACCAATAGGACTTAGCAGATATCTGTCTAGCATGTTGGAATCCGTACTTGAACACGTCGGGAGCAAGGCCGCCATAGGCTCGGCCGTAGCTATAGCCGGAGGTTGGTGGGCGTATACGTCATCTGGCCGTCTTCGGGGATTCCTACGGGCCCTCTTACGAACGAGCTACGCCAAAGTCGCAGTCATCGTGGTGATTGTTCTAGTCGTGTTATGCTGCTCGGCTGATCCAGTCTCGAACCGCACCACGTCGCCGTCTCAGCCACGCGCTCCTATGAATCTGCATGATCGGCATCCCCGGTACAGACCTTACTGGGTGCCAGAGAAGTATTCCGACGAACCTGACGAACCTGACAAAACCAATGCGACCAATGCAACCAATGCAACCAATGCAACCGTCAAACCCAACGAGCGCGACGATACTGAAAGGGCGTAAATTGCGTAAAAGTAGCTTCCAACAAAAAAGGCAAGATGCGAGAAGAGAGTTAACAAGATGCGCGCATGGTAGGAGGTTGCGCGATCTTACTCGGGCAATAAGGGCATAAATAGGAGAGAGGAAACCACTGAAGCTCGTATGTAGTATAGCAGGTAGCAAAAGTGCAGCTCAAAATCGTTTTTGCCCGGGTAATGTCGCGTATATTGCTGGAAAGAAGATATATGCGGAACGCAATCGTTGGCGAAGACTGGTTCCTGCTTCACACGTGAATAGCTGTGCTGTGAACACAATGAGCAGTAAGGCCTCTAGAGTCTCGGCATCTATCGCCATGTTTGTCATCATAGAGACAAGCCTGGGCTGCACGTGTCTGTATTGTAGCGTCATTCGTTGCCACCGTGGTCACGAAGATTGTCACAAACGAATTGCCATTTCTGCCGTACGGAGGGGACGTGGCGAGCTAGACGTTTTCTTTTCGACGGGCGATTCCGTACGCGATCATTGGGTATTTCGTTCGTGGTTTGAGGGATGTGTGTCGAGAGCAAATTTGGAGGAAGGCGAGCTCGACGCCACCTGTAAGCTGAAGCTGTCTGGTTCGGGGATAGCGCATGGGCTGCCCCTCGATATCACGTGTCCCCGGCGATTCTCGAGGTCCCGAGGTTTGTCCTCACCAACCTTAATACCACGCCCAACACCGCTCTCCGACCAGCCCCTTCCTAACGACAACATCACTGGCTTGAGTTCGCCATCAGCGATGACTCAAGTTCTTATGAAGTCTGCCATATTTGACGTGGCAGAGGAGAGCGTGGTGGTTGTCTACTTTCGATGAGTGTCGCGTTCATCCAGATCGGCAAACTCTACGCCGCGCAAGCCATTCCTCTTAGGGGCACCGCGACCCTCGGCAATAAGATTCACTCACTGCGCAATGAATGGTTTGAGAACATTACGGATTCGACGAAGATAAACTTTCTCAGTCTTCCGGAATGGCGCGCCCGAACGCCGTTGGTATCGCGATCCGCCTGCATGGACCAGTAGCTCCGCGGGAGACCTTGATGGCGCTACACCCGCGAATTGCAACGCCGTCTTGAGGTGCAGGCCGCGCCAATGACCGATGTCGCTGAAGAACACGATTCTTGCCAGCACTGCGCATTAAATTTAGGCACAATGTCAGTTGAACTGACGCTTATCGCTCAAATCAAACTTCATCGTTTCACAATACGAACATCGCGGCTTCCGAATACATGCGCCACTATCGAGCCTACCAGAAACTGACTACTACCTAAGAGGTTTTTCCAGCTGACTTTTCTACTGCCCGAATCTCACTCTCAGTCCCTGCCTATCCACGTCAAACCGTGTCTTCCACCGTAACCGCTACCATATTCTCCTACTCCAGGTGGCATCGGCGGCAAAGAGCCTCCCATGCCGAGCCAGCCTACCGAACCCTCTTGGAACCACATGAACTGCCTTGCCAACCTTTTTCCATACGCCCTCTTCTCCTCGTCCGTCATGGCATCCGCAGCGTCATGCAGTCGTCCGAACAACTCTTCGATATACGCTGCGCGAGCGACTTCCGACATACCAGACATCCCTTCGCTACGCTCTCGTACAAAGATGACACCGAATCTTGCCAGCTCACCGCGCAACCTGGTGATCCAAGTCTCACGGTCAGAGGGCTTCATGTCCGCTGGTATGGGCACGCCACGGAGGTACCAGTGAGGACAATTGAACGAGGCGCCATTACGGCCGAAGAAGTAGCCAAGAACGAGGACTAGGCCGAAGAGTAGGGTGTTTTGGATGCCAAGGTAGAGACCGACAGTAGTCGCCAGAAGACTGAACAAGCCAAAGAGAGTATTGGGGTGCATGAGCCACCACAGGCTATCGATAAGGCGGAGATAATCCATGGCTGAAGTCAAGTCTGAAGGGATGACCAAGGACGCGGGACGGAGGCTTCGACGTACAAGAGGCAGGATTCTGCAATCCGAGGTGTGAAATTCCGTTCAGAGATCGTTCGCAAGCTAGCAGGGTTGATGCCGTCCTAATTCAAGAGAAATAACGATGCTTTATGTTCTTGTAGGTCGTATAGAAAGCGTCCACGATGGAAGCAGTGGAGCTCTCGGACAGCGCTCACAGCAAAGAAAAATTTGCATCAGGCAAAATCGACGAGGCCGCGAGTCTTTCTGTTTCACATTTGCGTCGCAGCGAAGCAAATTTTCTAACGTCACGCGTGCCCCTTAGACGACGCTCCTGTTTTTATTCAGAGTGATAATATGTAATGCGGAACTACACGATACTTGAAGCGTTGTTTGACAGACCAAGCTCCTGCTTTCTATCAGCGTGACTATATATTCCCGGGTCGAGGCACCCACGTCGCACTAATCCAATATTCAATTCGTGATCATCAACTATACCACATCCATCACATTAGTCTGAAACAAAAATACCATCCCTTTCATTGCGCGCATCGCCTCCACCAAAGATATGGCATCATCAGGTTCCAAATCTTTCCAGGACCTCCAAAAGGATTTCCTGGAAAGCGAAGCCAGACGTCCCGCGAACGACACCCTTCATTATTACCGGCAACAAAACCAAGCCATCACCACACGCCTGAGCCAGGCTCTCGACAAGTTGAGCGAGTACGACGAGCGCACTAAGGAGGCTCAAGCCAAAGAGCTCGAGCTTATCGATGCCAACGGGCGCATCCAGTTGCTGGAAGAAAACTTCAAAGAGGTCATTCGTCACATCGATCCGATGGTCAAGTGGGAGTCGATGAATAAGGCTGTGCAAGACTTTGTAACTGGAGTTCTTCACGACAACCTGTCAGCCGACGAGGCACACGCAGCAGCGAGTCCTCGTGAGCCGGATCTGGGACGATTCGTCCGCGTCATGTTGACCAAGATTTCGGAATACGAGCATCTTCTTGAACAACAAAATGTCGAGATCGCGAACTTGAAGCTCCAACACGGTCGGGTCAGCCCCAGGACCACGGAAATCATCGAAACCAGGGACTACAAAGACGCCTTTGATCGAATGCACAACATGGGCTTTGTGATGCAGTCTGTATTTGAGTACGCCTACAAGGGCTTCCACCACCGAGAAAACGTCAGTCCCGAGGAAGAAAACTACATGAAATATCTCTGCACACTGTACGCGCGTATCGCACAGGTCATAGAGTTGGGCTGGAAAGACGACAAAAAGAGGAATCTGGGAGAACGCCCTTTGCGATCCGACTTCCACACTAACCATGTTGAGTTCAACGGGGAGGACGGTATGTATTTGACGACGGTGATCGAGGTAGCGCAGGAGGTAAAGGACGATGAAAGATGCGTGGACACTTGGAAGAACCCGCATGGGATCACCGCAGGTCTGGAGGAATTGATGAAGGTCGCGCAGCTGTAGGGCGACTTGAAGGGGGAGAAGACGAGGTCGTATGGATGATCGCGGGATTGAGTCGTTGGAGAGACCGTTCGTAGTTGATCTGGAAGCCGTAGTTGAATGAGAAGAGCACCCTTGCTACTCCCATGCTCCAACCGAAAGTTGCTTCAACGCAAGGTACCAGTTGTCCGCTTGCGTCTTGGAGCCTGCTGTTATGTAGACCCTGTGAATGGAGTCTTTAGCCGGCGATTTATGTCGTAAGGCCACAACCCAATCCGACTGCCATGAGACGAGCATGTCTTTTAACAATAGCTGTGAGGGTATTGTCTTCCCTCGTTCGTCGTCATCCTCCCCTCGCAAGACCAGTCGCTGGTGTGATGCGTCCAGTGAGGCGAGCACTTGAATCGATAGAGCGCGGTCGACGACCGGTGACTTCGAAGCATACAAGCGATGATGAGATGGCGATGCCGATAGTATCGGAAGAAGAGTCTTTGGGTCGGTATGACGTTCCATCAGGTCAACTGGGCGCGGCAACTCTGCGCAGGCCTGCCAGATTATCGATTGACTGCGAGCTATAGGTAGCCAGTCTGGTGGATCGTCTAATATCTGCCTGTGCGAAGAGGGTTTCAGTGTGATGGTAGGATCGATTGCTTGAACAGCTAATGGTGGTATGGCTTCCTTCAAGTGCTTTAGAAATCCAGCGGTTGTTTGCGCGGTCATAATCACAACACGATGGCAGCAACAAGTGGGTGGTATGCAGATTTTATATGAAGTGTGAAGTGTGAACTGTGTAGATAGCTCAACACTAGGCAGATGGCGGAAAGAAGCGTGACCAGTGTCGCCCTTCAACGTTGGGATGGTTTTGAGGCGGCGGAGGTAGCTGTGCGGTGTGAGCACGCTAAGCCGGTAGTGGCTAGACACCTGCAGGGACCAATACCGGCTGTGAGCGTCACGACACGTAACAAAGGCCCTCTAAATTGGATGCAAGACCAGCTACTTACAACGAGGAAACAGCTATTAAAGCGCTCTCGTTCCTGACCGTGATTATGGCATTTCCATGTGCTTTTCGACATGGCCCTCTCCCGAGCCGACGCGTTCAGAGTTGCCAGGAGGGCCACGCAGCTCACGTGTGACGCGATTGAAGATGAGCTCTGTCGACGCGACGTGCTTGGAAAAGATTTGCAAGATCAGTTGGAGGGTCTCGAAAGACGTAAAAAAGAGTTGGAACGTAGGGTTGAAGAGAGCAATGCACATATCATGAGACTGGAAGAGGACAACCGACAGCTAGGGCATGAGCTCGGCGAATTACCTATCCAACTCGACGCAGCCAGAAAAGACGCCACTACCGAGATGAACGAGTCTTTGAAGAAAGCCCGCCAGGCACTCTTCCGTCACGTCAATCCGGTGCTGCTTTACTGCCGCGTGCGGCCCAAATTGCCCGCCCAAGGAGTCGCCAGCAAAGCACCGCCGCAGCCCATCGCGAAATGGACGTGGAACGACTTCTCTATCATCAACGGAACCGGCGAAGCCTACACCTTCTGGCGTGTCTTTGGTCCCCATTGCCCTACTGCCAACGTCTTCGATGAACTCGAACCGATGATCCAGACCGCTTTACACGGACAGCACATCATGCTCATCACTTATGGCGAAACGCAATCTGGCAAAACCCACACTACCATAGAGCCCAATGCAGCTGATCCCTCACTCCTCGATCGCTTTGCTATTCTCGCTTTCCCTCAATTCCAGATCCATGTCTCTTTCGTGGAGGTGTGCTGCAACACGCCCCATGATCTACTGAAACGTGAGGAAGGCAAGCTTGTCGTAGGAAACAGCGAGTCCTCGCGGGCCGATATATTTCTGTATTCCAGCACGGGCCTCTACTTCCGCTACCAAGGAAAAGGCGGCGGGTACATGACACCCACGGTGTGCGACTCCTCCGAAGAACTCAAGAAGCTACGAAGTGAATCTATCCGGCGCCGCGCCAAACACCATGACAAACCTACGTCTTCTCGTGGTCCTTCCTGGCTCGAGCTTCGGGTACACGATCGCAACGACGGCACGCTTAGGGGCATCCTTACCATCGTCGACCTCATGGGCGCGGAAGACTCTGCCAACCAGCTAGGTAAACACAAGAAAGAAGCAGAGACAGGCCGAACGGTCAACTACAAGGTGTCAGAGTATCTGAAGAGTCTGCGCGACCAGCATCGAGTTGCCCGACCTTCCACACTACCCGACCGTACCCCCACACGCAGAAGCAACGCTCATCGTGAGCATCCTGACAACTTCATGCGTATTCTGATCCCCAGTTTCGAGGGTCAAATACTCGACTCGCCAGACCTGCCGCGCGTAGCTGTTCTGGCGCATATATACGAAGCTGCAGAACATGAGAAGCAAAACCAGACCACCATGGACGTGATGGAGGAATGGCGGACCAACCTGTTGGATGAAAAAAGGAGAGGTGGGACGCATGAAGCATGCAACGAATGTGAGGCAAAGGATAGAGAGAATGCGCTTCTGAAGCAACAGATTCATGAGTCGGATGTGGAGAGAGAATCTTGCAGCGAGCTGGAGGATGTGCCGCGCGATGTGAAGGAAGAGAAGTCTTTGAGGGAACGCTTCGCCGAGCAGGCGAAGTAGAATCGAGTTCATCGCCGCCTTTCCCGCTTGTATGACAAAATGAGACCCGTCGTCGTGGCCATACTCCTTTGTAGCCGTCTGGTGTTGTAGTACTTTGGAAGTTCTCGACAGGAGGACAGTCCTCGGATCATGTGATTCGATCGATGCCGATGATTCACTCGCTCAATGTGCACTAACAAGTCCAAATATCCAACATCAAACTTTTTATGCTTGATAACTTCTTTTGTATGTAAACAGTGATGAGAGCCCGGCAAGCACAGTGGAGAAGGGCGGTACCTACAAAAGCTAACGTACTGCTTCCAGCCAGAACTCAAGACAACATCTCTCGAATACACACAACCAACTTGATCGTACCAAGGACCAGGAAAGCACGATGAACCAAACAAACTATACATCCCTATGGAGCCAGGTGCTCTACGACACTCACGAGCAGGGCAGGCAGTTCGCATTACTCATTGACATTCTTCTTTTGGTCAACATGCTATGTTGTACTTCACACCACACATCACGAACCCTGTCTTACTTCAGGATATCCCTACATGAATATCTCATACAAACTGCTAGAGGCCTGAATGACTGGATCAATAAAAAGACAGGACTAGACAAACCAGCGGAGGGTTATAAGAAATACTCGGGGATCGAAGGGTTGGCGCTGGACATCTGCAAGGGTGTGGAAGTTCTGGCGCACATGAGCAATTTTTGTTTTGTTGTTGCCGGTATTGCCTTGGGGCTTGGCATCGACGTCGACCGCGGTACTGTACGCATGTGCATAGTGTGTAGCTGCATGGCTATTATGGTCTACGCAATGGTCGAAGCATCCGTGTTGCGTCGTCTCAATCTCCCGGAAGAGATACGCATTGAAGGAAGTAGGATCGAGCGCTCCATGCTTTTG